GAATACTTAACCTTGTTTTAGTTAAATAAAACAATTTAAATGTCTGTCTGGTGGTGTTCTCCTAATACAGTATGGCAAGAATTAACCTGTTGAATTGGAGATAGTTCACCTCCCAATGACTTCATAAATATCTGCTTCAATTACCTTTGGTAAATGAAATACCCAAACAATCATTAGTTTTACAGCTATATCAGAAAATGAATCTGAAAAGTTTTCAAAATAAATCACTGTTTAAAAATGTGTAGTGTGTACCTTCTAAAAATGAAACCTACATCTATCTCTGAGTTGTGAAGAATATGTATTAAGGTTATAACAACCAACAAGAATGCACTTTTATGTAGAAATCTGTGATTAAATCGAGTCTTCCTGACTAGTGATTTAAATCAAATCCACCCTGGTATAAACCACAAAGCTTGACTGTTTTGCACAAGATCGAAGTGCAGCCTTACAATATATACTGTTACAGTGTATAATTCTGTAGGGGCAACAGAAAGGTCCTCAGTGTTTTGATAGATTTAATGCTTTGTTAAGGCTGACACCGATTTGATTCTTTCTAATGTAATTTTTTTCTCTTTCCTATAAACTGAGTATTGCCAATGCCTAGTATTCACAAATCATAAGATTTTAAAAATATAATCGCGCGTTGCTTGCCTTTGAGTCATAATTTTTTACCTTTAGGGGGAAGCTGCTCATCCTAAATTCTTATGTGATGATCTCAGGTTCAAAGTGCAACCTTAAACACAAATGCCTTCCAGTTTGCTACTCTGCTTACACTCTATTTCCTGGGGTGCTCCTGTTCGATCCTCCATCCTGACTAAACAGGACTGCCAGTTACCCTGTTCACATCTTCTTCCATGTTCCCTCGCAGTCTTCTACTCCCTACACTCACTTGTCCTTAAATAATAATAATTATAATAATAATTAATGGAGGTATCCCATCTCCTAGAACTGGAAGGGACCTTGAAAGGTCATCGAGTCCAGCCCCCTGCCTTCATTAGCAGGACCAAGTACTGATTTTTGCCCCAGATCCCCAAGTGGCCCCCTCAAGGATTGAGCTCTCAACCCTGGGTTTAACAGGCCAATGCTCAAACCACTGAACTATCCCTCCTTCTTATTTCCTTCCCTTTTCCTTGACAGTCCCCTATCCATCACATTGTACTGCACTCTTCTCAGCGTGTGCCTTATCTTCCCTGCCTTTTCCTGAACCCCCGATTCTTCATAGTTTCCTGTCATGTTTTCTAACACATTCATCTTCTCTACTGCCCCTACAGTGTCATTCCAGCACCTCCATGTTCTGGCCCTCTGAGGTCAGGCTGGCTTAATTTCTCCCACCCCCACTGGAAGCCATGGGAGGTGTTGGCCATCTTGCCAAGGTCAGTCTGTGACTTCAGTGCTGCTGACAAAAATTAGAAGTGGCGACCATTCTTCGGAAGGGCAAAACTGTGAGATTTAAGGCAGTAATCAGAAATAAATGAGGAAGTACTATTGCCAGCCTGAGACAGCCAACAATCATAAATCAATCTTCCAGTTCCCCCAAAAATGTGAAGCCAGTTGCAGGATTGGGGCCTAAGTGAGCAACAGCTACCTGCAGAGGTCTCGGAATTGCTAAGTGTTTGTGAGAGGAACTGAGGTGCATGTGAATGTTCTCCCTTGTCCTTATGGAATGATTTGGAGGAGAGGGGGAGAATCTGAAAGGAGCTCTTCATGCAGTTCCCCTGCCCCAGGTTCTCATGTATTAAAGCGAGAGGAGCTGATCTGGGCATGTAACCCCTTTAGCTGATTTACTGTATTGTTTCTAGTGGCCTTACTTTCTTTATTAACTTAAACAGGAACATGTCCAAGAAAGGAGGGAAACAAACCGAAAAAGGAAGGAAAGTACATGTACCATGTAAACGAGCAAAGGTGGAAGCATCTTGCCCTTCTTCACCTATGAACTATGACAGCCCAGACAGTGTCTTTGAAAGTTTGATCTTTCCCATCGAACAAGAGACGTTCTTCAAGGAGTACTGGGAACAAAAGCCACTGCTTATTCAGAGAGATGACCCTTCAGTGGCTGCTTACTACCAGTCTCTCTTCCAGTTAATGGATTTGAAGGAGCTGTCCAGCCAGGGTTTATACTATGGAAGAGATGTTAATATCTGCAGGTGTGTGAATGGAAAAAAGAAGGTTTTAAATAAAGATGGCAAAGTGAACTATATGCAGCTGAAGAGAGACTTTGATCAGAAAAAAGCAACGATACAGTTTCACCAGCCTCAGAGATTTAAGGTTAGATCTACTGTTGCCCATAGATTGTGGCTCATGTCCTGCTTATGTGTTTTTGTAAAATATAAATGCTGCATATTACCTAGTTGCTGTCTTATTTGTCTCAGTCAGACTGGATGCACAGTGTATCATAGTGTATCACAATGTATCTTAATGAAATCAATGAGAAATTGGTTTAAGCTGCTGGCCAGCAGGCTGTGAACACCAACTACTTTATAAATGAACTATCTGAATTAAAACACTGTTTTATACTTTGCTCTATGCACCATCCTTCCATGCTGTAGCAAGAGGCACATCTAAAAGCTGATCCAGGGTGTAAGAAGATTAGAACTCCTCCTTAAAAGCTTGTTTTGTTACCATCATTATAATTTAGGGAAAGATAAACACACAAACTTAATTATTACCCATCTTTATTTTCTTCTTAAAGGTCACCACCCACCCTTTCTTGTTATAATTTCTGTGTGCAAGTGCAGGTTTTAATACCGGTTCTTTTGAGGCAAGGCAAGGTGTGAAATATTTCCAAAACACTCCACCTTCTTACAAACAAAACACACTAGTATTGAATTACAGCATAGTTAGTAGCATGCTGTCCATTTTAGCAACTGCTCACTCTGCTCTGGCTAGGTCTACACTACCTGCCTGAATCGGCGGGTAGAAATCGATCTCCCGGGGATCGAATTATCGCGTCTCGTCGGGACGCGACAATCGATCCCCGGATCGACGCTCTTACTCCACCAGCGGAGGTGGGAGTAAGCGCCGTCGACGGGGAGCGCGGAGGTCGATTTTGCCGCCATCCTCACAGCGGGGTAAGTCGGCTCCGATGGGTCGAATTCAGCTACGCAAATAGTGTAGCTGAATTCGACCTATCTTAAATCGACTCCACCCCCCCCCTCCCCGCCAGTGAAGACCTGCCCTCTGTCTTTTTCTTACTTCTTAGCATTCATTGTGCACTGATTTAATCAGTAACCTGGGAAGGAGAGGATGGTTCCACATACAATCTACAAAGGGATGAAATGTCAATACTCTGGGATGGGTATTAGGCACAATTATGTCAATATGTAGTTTAATTTTGTATTAGCCTCTTGGAAGGTGTACCTGTTAAAATTGTGCCCCAAATGTAAGATCTTGCTTAGGCTATTTTTGATTTCACTGTATTCTTGGGGTGCAGTGTCATATTTGGCATTTGAAGATGGAGTGGATACTGCAGTCTAATCAGTTGAATGCACATAAATTGATAGCACTCCTTTGCCTTCTTGTATAAGGGTAGCCGGTAGGCATCTTCTGTTTCAGGCTATTTATTGATTCTGGACCCAGATATGAGTGTAATTCCTTAAGCATGTCATGTCTGTCAGATGTGGGTGACGGCAGTGTATTTTAGAACTCATTCATGCAATTAATAAGAAGGGTTTAAAAGGAACTAGAGCAGTCATAGGAGGAACCTGCTTTGAGAACATAAGGCAATAATAAAAGCACAGTTTGGATAACTGTAATGCCAAACAATAACTAAACTCAGCAATGTTGAGACATTCCATGTTTGGATTGTTTATTGGTATGTTGTGTGGTTGGCATTAAGATTTGGCTTTACGATATGAGTTAGAGAAATTTCATGTGTGCATTGTATGTCTCTTTTCCCCCCAACAGAAGGGGTGTTTTGGTGGAGGTATAGTGTAGCGTAACTAACCCTGGTGAGGCGCTATCATTAGGGTTTGAAACTTTAGACCATCAGTGCTAAAAGCATGAGATTTTATTAGTTGAACTAAAATGTGAAAATTTTAACCCCAAGCAAACACTTAAGGCACTTAAGGGCCCACGTCCTATTGACTGTAATCATGGGTTAAAAATCCCCTAACTGCAAAAAGAGCTGGTTTTGGGAGGGAAATGTGTTTTTTTCTTTTTTTTTTTTAATGAAAAATATTTTTGTTGCTATTTTGAAACGTCTTGACTTGCTCTAAAACTGATTGAAAAATGGGATTAATTTATTGTGTGAAAACTTTCACAAAACATTATTTTTTGTGGTTGAACAATCAAAATGAAGAAAAATTTGATGGGCTCTAGCTGGAAATTGTAAAAGACTCAAACCTGTCCTATGAACTAGCCACAAGGACCCACATTCTCCTAGTGTGGGTTATATTTAGGTTAACTGGATAAGCGTGTGTATCTGTATGTGGTTAGGGAGATAAGGCTGGCTTGAGTCTTTGCTTGTTTATAAAGGATTTGGAGGAAAGTATGCGTGTGTGTGTGTTGCGCACACACAATGGTTTGACATGAAAGAATCTTTAACTGTAAACCAACAGGCTTTGGCAGTGGTAGTATAATAATTAGTATTCAACATATTTCACAGAGTAAGGCAGTTCTTTTTCATTTCGGACATATTTAAAAGTATCTTCCAACATGTGTCTCTGCAAGTCTGCTTTAAAAGCTAAAATACATTTTTGGGGCCTAAATAAGAGGGTAATTCCATAACACTGAAGAATAGACACTAGAAGTTCTAACCCCAAATATCTTTAAATTATATTTGGGGGCATACACTAAATATCCAAATGTTGATGCTAGGAAAGGTGGGAGTAGATTGGGAAGGGGTGGGGGGGGAACAATGGTCAGAGATTCTAGCCTAGTGTCATTAGAACGGAGTGAATAATGGAAGAACTTACGTTGTTTTCTAAATGCGATTTGGTTGTGTTGTATTTGGTATCTTTAGTAACAGGGCTGGGACCTTTTACACTCTCTGTATGATCCTACGCTGTATAATAGAGACACTATGTATATTGATTTCATTAAGATATTATTCACAGATTGACTCTGGCTTCTTTTCCCCTCCCCTTAACCCTATTTATTTTTAGACTCTCTGTAGAAATAATAGAGAAGGGAAGGTACCTCTACCTTCCCTTTTTTATTATTTCTACACCTTCTACCTATTCTCCATAGCAGTCAGGGCAGCATATCCCCTCCAGATTGGCAGCTGGCTTGCTAGTTACCTTCACAGATGATTTTTTTCCGCTGTTCCCCACAGCATTCAGCATGGACATGTTCTAGTGAGGCAACTGGCATCCCTCTCTAGTAGGACCCCAAACTTGTGGTGTTTGGCAAACTGCCTTTACAGTTTCTTAAGTTCCTCTGTGTCTGAAATCTGTGAGAACTGATACCATAGTTAGAGCAATACATCAAACATTAATTTAAAAAAACGAACGCCACATTTGTTTTTAGCAGTGACATTTATTTGTGATAATTTCACTTGCTTTCTTTAAAGGATGAGTTGTGGAGGATCCAGGAGAAGCTGGAATGCTACTTTGGCTCTTTGGTTGGCTCCAATGTTTACATTACTCCTCCAGGGTCCCAGGGTCTGCCTCCCCACTACGATGATGTTGAGGTGAGAGAACAAGCTTGCAATCTGTAAAGTTACAAGCAGCTTTTTCAAGTATGTTCACTTTATGAAAGTCATTAAATGGATTCATGTAATAGAGACAGGTTTATGCCCTGTCTAGGTATAGATTTGATCAAAGTAACCTACAAGGATTTTTTCATTTTAAAGAAAAGTATTGAGTAATTTGATGGTAATATCCTGTTAAATGTGCTTTCCAGAACTGTTGTGTGAGATTTTCAGTTGATGCTGACAAGCTTCCCAGCAGCCTTTATCTTTCAGTGTAGCAGTGATGGTGGTGGTTTTAAAAAGTGACAATGTCAGGTCAAAAAAATCAATTAAAAACTTCCAAACCTACCTTTGTTACCAATAACACATCAAGGGCCTGATCCTGAGAGAGCCTGCTGACTTCAGGGGGAGTTGTAGGTGCCTAGCACTTCTTGGGGTCAGACCCCTCCAATTATTAAAACTGTAAAAATTTGGAAATCTTCTTTTCTTTGCAATTTCTTCAGCTTGTACAATAGAAATAGACTGGTCACACTCTGGTACTTGTTTAGTAGCACAGCACTACAATGACTAGTTTGTAAATGCTGCCAGGGAAGACTTAAATCTAGGCGTGTCTTTATTGTACTTTTAAAAATAACAAAAACATTTATTACATTTTATAAAACTTATTAAAATATCAAAACCTGAAGTTGGGAACTTATGCTGCCCAACTCTCTCTTCTTTTTGCTGTCCATGTTTTAAAAATAAAGCAAATATTTCCTAGTTGGTTTTAGAAATATTACAAATAAAAGACATAAATGTCTCATCATGAATTAGAGGTGGTTTTTATTTTATTTTTAATTTCACTTCAGATAAATGCATCTAGCAGTTTTGTTTGTTAAAGGAATTTTTAGCTACACACAAACATACTCTTCAGCTACCTAGCATGTGCAGAATGTACCTATCAGCTGTCTGCAAAGCCTTCTGATAGAATTCAGTGTCCCATTTGGAACTGTTACGCGACTAGATATTTCACATGCTCTATGTTCTTATGTGACTGGCAGAGAACAATTTTTGAACTTTATAAAGCTCTGGGTGTCACCAGTAAGGCCATCACTTTGGCTTTTTTTTGTCTTTGCTACCTCTCTCTCTCACTTGGTCCCCTGGGTATTTTCAGAGTTCAAAACTTGAGCAGCTGGAGGTTTGAGGCGCAGAATGGCTTTTTGATACACATTGTTTTGTGGCCCTTTGCAGGTGTTTATTCTTCAACTGGAAGGAGAGAAACACTGGCGTCTCTACAAACCTACTGTGCATTTAGCTCGAGAGTATAATGTTGAATCAGAGGATCGGATTGGGAATCCAATACATGAATTCATATTAAAGGTACTGGTATTTGCTGCACATGGCTTTCTTGGCTTTAGCTGTGAAATATATAGTGTCATAACTTTATATTTTGATACATTGTTTAAGAAGAATGCCCTGAATGTGTTTATAAAAATGACCTTCAGAGCACTGGAAACTGTCTGGCGTATAAGGCAGTCAGGTATCCTATAGGCAAATTGGAGAATCAGTATTTGGTCCTATGAATGCATTAAACAACACTCCATATTTGCATACCCAGGGTCCTAGTTGGATGTTTGGTGCCTTTCATTTCCTATGTTCTTTTTCTTTCTGGATGGTCTGTTGTCGAGTTTCTGTTGCTTTGTGAAATGTCTCTAACAAGCATACACAGACCTCTGTCATTCTCGCCTAAAGATTAAAACCCTTACTAAACAAAATTCTTCCTTTGCATTCCTACCTGTCCTTTACAGACAGTCCATTGTGGAGACCAGTGAGAAGTTACACCATGCCAGAGTCCCTAGTCATTGTTTCCAGAAACAATAGTGGATATCTAGTGACATTTTGGTGCCAGCTTGTTTAAATTTTCAGTTGCAGCCTGTATCTGTGGAACTTGGTTGTCTTCATCAGGGAACTGTAAGGCCTGGTTTGCTACCTGTATCCAACACAGAGCTCAGCTCCATGGGAGTTAACCAGTAGCTAATTCAGTTAAATTATCCACCTTTTCATACTGGGGAGCCCTTCCCCAGCTATCTAGTTGGGATCCCGCCTCCCTTTAGCAAGAAGGGAAAGGCAGCTGTGGCCATAACCCTTTGGCATGTGTTTGCAACCCCCCTGAGGGTTGTGACCCCTTACGTTGAGAACCCATGGTGGTCCTAATTATTTCGCAGTCCTTAATTTATAGCAACTTAATGTTGATAATGCACTTATGTATGAACCAGTTTTCCCTTAAAGACTTGGGCCGAAATCCTGCTTTGCCTTACTCAGTGAGTAGTCTGTTGAAGTCAGTGGGTCTATCAAGTGAATAAGGCAAGCAGAATTTGGCCCTTAAAGTGTAGGTCAGCTCTGACGAGTGACTCTGTAAACTGACTTCTTTCTACCCAGCAGATCTGTTCCCCTTTTTTGTATTGTTGAGCACCTAGTAACTTTATTCCCTAATCATCAAAATGATAGTCTAGAGAAAGGTAGATCAGGTAGGACAAATGTTTAGCAATTGTTCCTCGTAATGTAAGGTCATGGATATGACCCCCGCAATTTGTCACATAAGGTTTCTTACCATGCCTCAGGAAACCCAGGATTTAGAAAAGCAAGATAGTTCAAAGTTGTTAATAATGAATCATTCTGTAAAGAAGTAATAAACCAATGTTAGCATTCAATTACAATCTCTTCTGTTGTAACTCTCCTGCGGGGAGCTGCTAACGGGGCTAACCCCTGCCGGAGAGTTAGGGTATGTCTATACTACCTGTTGGATTGGCAGGTAGTGTTCAATGTATCTGTGATTGATTTATTGCGTCTCATCTGGACGCGATAAATCGATCCACTAATAGACACTCGTACTCCACCTCGGCAGGAGGAGTAAGCGGAGTCGACGGGGAGCCGCGGCAGTCGACTTACCTAACCATCCTCATGGCGGCAAGTCGAACTAAGATACTTCGACTTCAGCTACATGAATAGCGTAGCTGAAGTTGCGTATCTTAGTTCGAACCCCCCCACTATTGTAGCTCAGGCCTTAGATGCACTCCTTGTAGGAGGTGTTCTTCTCTAGGTGAGCTGGAACGTAAGTTCTTCTTCAAGTGATTGCTTCTGTGTATTCCACAGTAGGTGTGCGTGCTTGCCACGTGCACCGGTGCCGGAAGTTTTTCCCTTAGCAGCATCCGTAGTGGGGGAGCACCGCTGCAATCCCTGGATTGGCGCCGACATATTGCGCTCTAAAGGGGGCTGCGTGCTCCCCCCATCCTCAGTTCCTTCTTGCCACCAGTGAAGGTAGTCGGAACTTGTGCTCCAGCTTTGCTGCAGCAATTCTAGCCTTAGTGGTATCCAGCTTCTCTCACTTGTTGAACTCTTTCTCTGTTGGTGCTGGGCTCGGGGCATGCCCCGTGGCCCAGGCTTCAAGTCGTGCGACTCTTGTCGCAGTCCTACGCCCAGAAGCGATCCACACACTCAGTGTCTTCGCTGTCTGGGCGAGGCTCACATTAGTGAGAAGTGTAAAATTTGCCGCTCCTTCAAGCCCCAAACGAAGAGGGAGCGTGAGATCCGACTCCGAGCTCTCCTAATGGAGTCAGCGTTGACCCCGGCACTGGTCACGTCGAGCCGACCCCGCGCCGGGCACCTCATCCTCGGCACGCAGCGAAGCGCCCCAGGTGCGCCGTCCTGATTCCGCGCCCGGTACCGCGTCGTCGGTGCGCAGCGACGCCCCGTTGATGAGCCGGCACCACTCCCCTTCTAAGAAGCAAGGGAAGACTCAGTGGCGCCGGGAGAAAAATTGGGGTGAGGCTAGACCCGCGTTGGGCAGCCCACGATCCCCATCGGCACCGAGACCTCCGACTCGGCTGGAGCGGAGTAGTCCGGTGCCATCCACGCGTGCCTCGCCAGAGGTGAGAATGCCTTCGACGCCGGAAGCAGCTCAGGCCGCGTGCGACATCATGATGCTTCCGGTACCGGGAGCGCCGCTTCAGTCGGGCCCCCGATCCTGTGGGAAGCCTTCGCTCAGTGCCCATCGACCCTCTCCAGACATCTCCGAGGTCGACATACCGTCCCGAGTTGAAGGGCTGAGCCGCGGACCCCAGCGCGCCTCCACGCCGCAAGCAGGATCGTCTGCGAGCAAGCTTTCCACCTCCACTCCGGGAGACCGTAGGGGAGGCACTAAGAGACAGCACCGCTCCTCTTCGAGCCTTGACCGCAGGGACAGGTCTCGTCGTCGTCGGCACTGCTGTTCCTCCTACGGCACCCGCCGTGGAAGGTGCTACGCCCGGAGCTTGTCACGGGAATCCCAGGCACCGAGGCGTCGTAGTCTTGGGTACCGGAGGCATTACGGAGACAGCACCTCAGACTCCTACCTGTCCCTTCAACTCTGGCTGGCCTCCCGCTACTCCCAGACCAGGGGCGGCCTGGACAAGGTTGTTACGGTGCCGCCCGCGGTGGTTGCGGACCTCCAATAGTGGTCCCTCCAGAGCAACATGCTCTGGGGAATCCCCTTCCGAGACCCCTCTCCCTCACTAGATCTAGTGTCGGATGCCTCGGACCTGGGCTGGGGAGCCCACGTGGGGGACATCAGGACCCAGGGTATGTGGTCACCCGAGGAACTGACCCTGCATATAAATGTCAGGGAACTCAGGGCTGCGTGCCTGGCCTTTCGCCAGCACTTACAAGGGAAGGTGGTCAGTCCTCACAGACAACACCACTGCAGTGTATTACATCAACAGGCAAGGGGGCATGCGCTCCAGGGCCTTATGCCAGGAAGCCCAACTCCTGTGGGAGTTCTGTATAGCCCACAACATCCTCCTCCGAGTGTTCCACCTACCCGGCAAGAGCAACACGCTCGCAGATCGCCTGAGCAGGGTGTTCTCACAACAACACGAGTGGTCCCTGCACAGGGAGGTGGCAGAATGGATTTTCCTTCAGTGGGGCACTCCCCAGGTGGACCTATTTGCCATCGCTCAGAACCGCCTGTGTCCCAGGTTCTGCTCCAGAGTGATAGAAGGCGATGGGGCCATGACGGACGCATTCCTGCTTGATTGGTCGGGGCCCCTGATGTACGCCTTCCCGCCCTTCCCCCTCATAGGCAGGGTCCTACAGAAGGTGAAGTCAGACGGGGCGAGAATTATCCTGATAGCTCCGGATTGGGCCCGTCAACATTGGTACGGGACCATACTGCAACTCTTGGCGGCCCCCCCTCACAGGCTGCCGCTCCACCTGGACCTCCTCTCCCAGGAGGGAGGTCGTCTCCTCCATCCCAACCTGGGCCCGCTCCACCTCACGGCGTGGCTGCTCCATGGCTAGATGCGGAGGAGGGGAGGTGTACCGAGCCTGTTGGACGTGTCCTGCTTGAAAGCAGGAAGTCGTCCACACGGAGGACCTACCTGGCCAAGTGGTATCGGTTCTCCTCCTGGGCGAGGGAGAGAGGCTCCTCCACCACATCCGCTCTGCTCCAGCTGGTCCTGGACTACCTCCTGTCCCTTAGGACCCAAGGGCTAGTCCCCTCCTTGATCAGGGTGCACCTGGTGGCCATTTCGGCCTTCCACCCTTCTGGTGGCAGGACAGTCAGTGTTTTCCCACCACATGACTTCCAGGTTTTTAAAGGGTTTGGACAGAGCGTTCCCTTATGCTAGACCCCTGGTTCCCCTTGGGACCTGAACCTGGTACTGTCACGCCTCATGGGACCTCCGTTTGAGCCCTTGGCCACTTGTTCCTGGTCCCACTTATCTGAGAAAGTGGCATTTTTGGTGGCTATCACCTCAGCCTGCAGCATTTCAGAGCTTAGGGCGCTCACCTCGGAACCCCCGTATGCTGTCTTCCATAAGGGGAAGGTGCAGCTTCGCCCACACCCGGCCTTCCTACCGAAGGTGGTCTCGGCGTTTCATATGGACCAGGACATTTTCCTGCCAGTCCTGTGTCCTAAGCCCCATTCCTCCAATGAGGAACGACGCCTACACATGCTAGATGTGCGTAGGGCTCTGGCCTTTTACGTGGATCGAACAAGGCCATTTCGGGCATTTCCTCAGCTTTTCATTGCTACGGCCGAGCGCATGAGAGGGCAACCGGTTTCCACCCAGCGGATTTCCCACTGGATCACCTCGTGCATATGCACATGTTATGACCTGGCTGGGGTTCCCCCGCCTCCTATTGTTAAGGCGCACTCAACGAGAGCCCAGGCCTTGTCTGCGGCCTATGTGGCTCATGTCCCCATTCAGGACATATGCAGGGCTCCTACATGGTCCTCTGACCACACTTTTTCATTGCACTATGCGATCGTCTCCCAAGCAAGGGATGACGCCGGGTTTGGTAGGGCAGTGCTCCAACCCTTAACCTTTATCATTTAGAACTCCTACCCACCTCCGTCAGATATAGCTTGGAGTGACCTACTGTGGAATACACAGGAGCAATCACTCGAAGAAGAAAGGACAGTTA